AAACAGAAGAGACTAAATATAAAATTCAATTCAAACAGATCGTTTAAAATAAACAGAAGAATATGTATTCAGAAAGTGTGTGACCCAGTGGACCCAGGGAAACTAAATTTGCATTCGGATTTTGGCACACATCTTGGAAATTTTTTTTTTTTTTTTTTGAGATAGTACCTTACTTTGTCACCCCTGGGGAGAGTGTTGGGACGTCACAACTCATAGCAACCTCAAACTCGGGCTTAAGTGATTCTCTTGCCTCAGCCTCCCGAGTAGCTGGGGCTACAGGCACCCACCACAATGCCCGGCTATTTCTAGATAGGAGGTCTCACTCTTGCTCAGGCTGATACATCTTGGAAATGTTAAGTTTGCTCCTGATCTTAATGAAAGTAACAGATGATATTAGGAGAAATATATAACAATTCCTTAACTACGCTTATTTAATAATTTAAAAATATATTCTGGCCAAATCCTTTTCCACTTACACATGCAATTTTTTTCACATTTATAACTTTAAATTTCTACTCTCTTTCCACTAATTCAACTACCTCTTCTTGGCAACACAAAGTCAGTAAACTCAGGAATTTGTTTATATCCTTCAACATGAGTTTTTAAAGTACTCAGAAATTAAAGTTACAGAGTTTTGAACCGCTGAAATAATGATCTTCTTGAAGAGACTGCCAAATCCCCACTTGCTAAGCCTCCTCTCTAAAGTCACTCAAAAATATATTTAGATTCCAAGGTAGTAAACAAAAAAAAAAAAATTACTTTTTCCCTTAACATTTATGTTTCTGGATGCGTGCTGTGGTGAATATTTGCACTGAATGTCCGTGTTTAACCTTTTATCTAATTATTATTTAGTTATTTTTTGAGACGAGAGTCTCACTATGTTGCCCTCAATAGACTGCTGTGGCATCACAGCTCACAGCAACCTCAAACTCTTGGGCTTAAGTGATTCTCTTGCCTTAGCCTCCTGAGTAGCTGGGACTACAGACGCCCACCACAATGCCCGTTTTTGTTGTTGTTGTTGTTATTGTTTGCCTGGGCCAGGCTTGAAACTGCCATCCTTGCTGTGTGGGTAGTGCCCTAGCCACTGAGCTATAAGCACTGCCCTATTTATTTATTTATTTATTTATTTTTGAGACAGAGTCTCAAGCTGTGGCCCTGGGTAAAGTACTGTGGCATCACAGCTCACAGCAACCTCCAACTCCAGGGCTCAAGCGATCCTCTTGCCTCAGCCTCCCAAGTAGCTGGGACTACAGGCGCCCACCACCATGCCCGCCTATTTTTTGGCTGCAGTTGTCATTGTTGCTCAGCAGACCCAGGCTGGGTTTGAACCAGCCACCCTAGGTGTATGTGGCTGGCTCCCTTACCCACTGGAGCTACTGGCACCACCTTACTTTTTTTTTTTTCTTTTGGCCAAGCCAGGTTTGAACCCACTACCTCCAGTATATGGGGCCAGTGCCCTACTCCTTGAGCCACAGATGTGCCTTATTTTTTTTTTTTTTTAGACAGAGTCTCAAGCTGTTGTCCTGGGTAGAGTACTGTAGTATCATCAAAGCTCATAGCAACCGCCAACTCTTGGGCTCAAGCTACCTTCCTTTCTATTTTACAGAAAATAGTTTTTTCTATTTTTATTAGAGATAGAGTCTTGCTTTTTGCTTAGGCTTGTCTCAAACTTGAAAGCTCAAGTGATCCACCTGCCTTGGCCTCCTACAGTACTAAGATTGCAGGTGTAAGCCACTGTGCCTGACCTTAATTATTTATTTTGATCTTTATTATTATCAGTATTATTATTTTTGAGACAGAGTCTCATCCTGTGTCCTGGTTAGAGTGCTGTGATGTCACAGCTCACAGCAACTTCAAACTTCTGGGCTCAAGCCGTCCTCTTGCCTCAGCCTCTCAAGTAGCTGGAACTACAGGTGCCTGCCACAACACCTGGCTCATTTTTCTCTTTGTAGTACAGATGGGGTCCTGCTTTTCTCAAACTCCTGAACTCAAGAAATCCACCCATGTTGGCCTCTCAGAATGCTAGGATTACAGGCATAAACCACAGCGCCCAAGCACTACGAAAGGTTTGTGACAGACTATGGCACGATCCATTATTTCAGTTCCAAGAAACACAGGGTTCCTTTTTGATTCATCAGTGAAAGTTTCAACTTGCTTGGCTTACCAGTGTTGCTGGGAGGGCTTCCAGCACAGTCCACAGAGATTTTATGTTTCTTGATTTTTGTATATCTCAAACTTTCATATTGAGTATGTATCTGTTAGGTATGTGGACCACAGCATAAGATGTCTTTACATTTTCTGAAGTCCCTTGGTACACATGAGCAATTGGCTCCAGAACCACCCACACACACCCAATTCCCCTCTAATGAAGTCCTACAATCAGCTCTGTGTATATATAGGTTTCAAACCCACATATATTATATTTCCAATCCACACCGGGCTGAAAAAAATCTGTGTGTAAGTGTACAAGGATTACCTGCTATCGCTAAAACTATTAGCATCTGGAATTACATTAACCAGTGGATGCATTTTAAGCACTGTCTGTTCACTCTAGCTCTGACTTTTTACTTCTAATTTTTTTTGCTCTGAAATTTTTTGTACTTATCTCCATAGCAATAATCCTGACCCATTCCTTAACGATGCTGTAATAACTATCTTAGTATCTAAGTTAGGAAAGAAGGCTGGGCTCAGAGTGTGGAATCCTAACACTCTGGGAGGCTGAGGTGGGTGGACTGCTTGAGCTCAGGAGTTTAAGACCAGCCTGAGCAGTAGGGAGACCCTGTCTCTACTAAAAAAAAATTGAAAAACTGGCTCGGCACCTGTAATTCAAGCGGCCAAGGCGCCAGCCACATATACTGGAGCTGGCGGGTTCGAATCCAGCCCGGGCCGGCCAAATAACAATGGCGGTAGCCAAAAAATGGCCAGGCATCATGGCAAATGCCTTTGGTCGCAGCTACTTGGGAGGCTGAGGCAAGAGAATTGCTTGAGCCCAGGAGTCGGAAGTTGCTGTGAGCTGTGATGCCACAGCACTCTACTCAAGGCGACAGCTTGAGGCTTTGTCTCAAAGAAAAAAAAAAGTTGAAAAACTTAGCCTGGCATTGTAGCAGGTACCTTAGTCCCAGCTACTTGAGAGGCTGAGGCAAGAAGATTACTTGGGCCTAAAAATATGAGGTTGCTGAGAGCTAGGTTGACACCACAGCACTCTACTCAAGGGGATGGAGTGAGACTGTCTCAACAAAAAAAGAAAGAAAAGGAAGAAAAGGAAGGGGAGGAAAAAGGAGCGGAGGGAAGAAGGAAGAAAGGAAGGGAAGGAGGGAGGCACATTCTGGACTTGAAAAGTTCAATAACTGAATGAAAGCTTCACTAGAGGAGCTCAGCATCAGATTTACACTTCCAAAAGAAACAACCCACAAGCCTGAAATCAGACCAAAAGACACTTCCAATCTGAAGAACTGAAAGAAAAAAATATGGAAAAGTGAACAGTCTTAGAGAGCTGTGGGACATCATCAAGCACAGACCATATAATACATAAGACAATGACAGCACAAAGGAAGAAGAATGGAATTTTACTAGATTCAAAAATGACACCGAACAGTCACATGAATCTATAAGAAGAAAAGAACACCAGCAATGGTGAATGTACAGGCTGACATAGACCCTAGAAATACATCTTTTCTCCTTTCTTCTCTGAACTTTTTTTTTTATTATTAAATCATAGCTGTGTATCTTCTCCAAACTTTTTAAAAAGACCTAAGATTGTACAAAGCAAAAGCTAACACTGTATCACTGAGATTACGATACAGACACAATATATGTGTATAATGCAAAAAGGGAGGAAGGAATAAAGCTCTATTGGAAGAAAACATTTCTATGTTGTTTTTGTTTTATTTTGTTTGAGACAGAGTTTCATTTTGTCCCCCTCAGTAGTGCTATGGTGTCACAGCTCACAGCAACCTCCAACTCCCAGGCTTAGGTGATTCTCTTGCCTCAGCCTCCCAAATAGCTAGGACCACAGGTGCCTGCCACAACACCCGGCTATTTTTTGTGGCAGTTTGGCCAGGGCCAGGTTCGAACCCACCACCCTTGGTATATGGGGACAGTGCCCTACTCACTGAGCCACAGGCACCACCCCATGTTTCTATGTTTTAATGATATACAACTAATATTTATATAGACAGTGATAAATTAAGCATATTGTAATCCTTACAGCAATCATTAAGAAAATAACTCAATAAATAGTATAGTCTATTTTCAAGAAGCAAGCCAGACTGATCCTTTATAAAACATTAGTCAGATCATTTTTCCTCTGCTCAAAACACTCCAACGGCTCTCATTACACTTTGAGGAAAACTGCAAGTCTTTAACTGGCCTTCCGGTTGCCCCTTAAGCTTATGTGTATGGGGTGGTGCCTGTGGTTCAAAGAACCTATAGGGCGCCAGCTCCATATACTGGAGGTGGCAGGTTCAAACCCAGCCCCAGCCAAAAAAAAAAAAAAAAAAAGCTTACATGTATGCTCCCAGCTCTCAACATCTGTCCTAGCTATTCGCTCTGCCTGAAGAGCTCTTCCCAGACATCCATGGGGCTCATTCTCACTGCATGGCCATCAAGTCTTTGTCTGAATGTCATTTTCTCAGTGAAGAGTTCACCTGACTGCCTTATTTCAATCCCTACCTCCACCTCCATTTCTCTTCCACCTTTATTCTTCCCCAGAGTTTACAGCTCTTTCTAATATAACATGAAATTATAGTTTATAAATTATTTATTGGGTCTCTCCCACTAGAATATATGCTACAAGAAGAGACTTTATTATTCTATCTCCAATGCCTAGAACATAATAATAAGCATTCAATGAACATTTCAAAAACAGTGAAGGAATTAAAGAAAAAAATGAAATTGACTTAATTTTCTTCTAAAATCTCTATAAGTATCTTTAAAAAATCTTTTCAGCATATATAAAAATAAAATCAGACAAACATGCAAAATTGGAAACAATTTCTTACCAAAATCCATTCTATCTTTTTGGTTTCTCTGAAGCAAACCCAAAAGAAGATTAGCCAGATAAGGTGACGTTTCCCTGGGAATACTGAGGGAAAGGAAAAAAAACACCAAAACAACATCAGTGGTGAGTTTATACAGAGTGTGTGAAAAATATGTATACAAATTTTAAGAAAGGAAAAAGCTGTGTTAAAACTGTAACACTCAATCTGTAGTGATAATGTTTGTTATCTTGTATATTGTATCTGGTATCCCTTATAATTGCAGAAGTCAAACATGACTTGAATATTATAATTTTAACACAGTTTTTTCCTTTCTTAAAATGTAGGTACTTTTTGGCACCCTCTGTATGTACTAACTACATTACTTTTACATTCAGTATGATAAATGAAAGTGTATATGAAGTTTTCACAAATACAGTAGAACCTCTGTAAGTTGACCACCCAAGAGACTGTGATACACTGGTCAACATATGGAGGTGGTCAACCCAGGGAACTAGGCCTATTGTGCTGATGTTTCCATGTGGGGCATGTCAATCTGTGAGAAGTAGGTCAACTTAAAGAGGTGGTCAAGGCAGGGAGATGGTCAACTACGGAGGTTCTACTGTACTACATTTATACCAAGAAGACCATGGTAAGCCTCATACTTTAAAGAAAGAGCACTGAATTTGAGAAGATTCCTATATTTTGCTTATTATTATCGGCTTTAGTATCTGCAGGAGTACATTTCCCAAGCCAGATGATCTTAACATAATTCCAACTTTGCATAATAGTTGCTATAAAGTTCACTATCAAAAAAACAGCCACCTCCAATTCTGTGCAGAAAAGGGCAGAACTTGAATAAATACAAATGAGAAATAATACAACTTCCTAACATCCAAGATGAAAACAACAAGGTAACAGAGAAATGAGTTTAATGATAGGAATTTACAACTTACAGAGTATAAAGTACAAATAGATACTAGGTAAAAAAGGAGCCAATTTCACTAACAAAAAAAATACATATGAAATTAATAGCTGACTGCTTCACCTCCAAAGGCTTCCAATCTGATAACATTCCTTTTTGGTAAAAATGAGGGGAAAGGCACACTCTCTTATCCTGCTGTATTAACTGGGGCAGCCTATTTGGAAAGCGTAATGCTCAGTCTAGCAATTTCATTTCTAGAGGTCCATCCTAAAGAAATGCACACATGCATAAAGGTACACATACACACACACTCTTCACTAAATCTTGTTTGTAGTAATCAAAAAGTGAAAACAGTGGCAGCACCCATAGCTCAGTGGGTAGGGGGCAAGCCACATAAACCAAGGCTGGAGGGTTTGAGCCCAGCTGGAGCCTGCCAAACAACAATGACAACCGCAACCAAAAAAAAGCCAGGTGGGTACCTGTAGTCCCAGCTACTTGGGAGGCTGAGGCAAGAGAATTGCTTAAGCCCAAGAGTTTGAGGTTGCTGTGAGTGAGATATGACTCCATGACACTCTACCAAGGGTGACATAATGAGATTCTGTCTCCAAAAAAAAAAAAAAGTGAGAACAGAGATCTGATTAAATAAAATATGATACTTCTAACTACAAGACTTTACATAGCCATTCAAAAGAATGCAGCAGTTCCTTGTCACTGAATATTATCTATGAGTAAAAAATAAAAGTTGCAGAACAATTCACAAAGTATGATGTAATTTGTTTAAAGTACACATAGGTGTATAAACATACACATAAACAGGCACTCTTACAAAGCACAATCAGCACAGAAAAACAAAAAAAAAGAAGGAATCAAACATGTATAAAGAACTCCCACCAAAAAAAATCTGGAAAGATACAAAGCAAACTCTTGTTATTCCTAATAAAAGATCAAAGCCTAGCAGAAAATTTATTTTCTACTTTCTGTACATCTATTCTGTTTACATTGCCCCACAAAAGGAATACATGTAACTTCTATAATTTTACTTTAACTTTACATTTTAAAAAAGAAAGAAAATGGCACAGTACTACCCTGGTCCTTAGGTCCTTAGTGGTCATTTTCTGATTCCTATTCTAACAAATGCTCTCACATTTCTGTCAACAGAAAAAGGGATCAATAATGGAAGGATACAATACACAGAGTTCCAACAAAGAGCACTGTGCTCACCCAGTGTAATCTAAACACATACCTAGGCATTAAGCTCCTGTTTTTTTCATAAAACATCCTTAAGTCTTGAGGACTATTGGCCTAGTAAAAAAACAAAACAAAAAAAAGGTTTAATTTCCTACACAATGGGGCAAAACTTCCAAATCATGTGATTGACACTCATATTCTTGCTATACAATAGAGATTCTGAACTTGAAAGACGTGGACTGCTGAATGAACCATAGCTGGGCATTAGAAAAGCAACAGTAACTATGAAACTGTGTGAAAATTCTGTATATCTGAGTATGATGCATCTTTTCTAAGGCCAGACCCTCAGAGGGACCTGAAACTCAGAAAAGGACCTGTAATTTAAAAAAGTGCAAAACATAGTGATAAAAATTGTCCTAAAGCCACCAGGTTACACGGCCTACCCAATAGGTACATTACATTGTATAAAATCCAGGTGTATTTTACCTTAGGACCTTAAAGGAATTCAAAGGGAAGAACTTTGTGTACTGCTGCTAATTCAGCCTCTCCATAGCAACAGGTAGAATCCTTATCAAGAGCTGCCAAATTAGTGAAGCCTCCTCTACACACTAAATTGGGAGACTTAAGTATTTAACCTAGATCTGTCATCTAATTTTTTTAAATACCCTCTTGGGCAAATAATTTCACTTTGTTCCAGTTTTTGGATTAAAAGATCTTTCTTGTAACCAAAAAATTATAACGTGGCAATATAAACTCAAAATAAACCATCATGATTATACTCTACAGGGCCACCTTTTGACAGGATGTTAGGTGAGAGGAGAGGAGGAAAGACCCAAATTAATTTTCAAATAATCACCTCTCTCTCATCCAGCAGTGTCAGGGGTAAGAGATGGAGACACAGTCTCCAGTGATCTCCCTAGACAAGCCCCAGACCTCAAGTGGATTCCGGGACCCAAGAACCAGGCTAAACAGAAGTGCTGATGTAACTGTTCAGTCCCATTTCCCATCAGGATAGTTCTGACCCTAGTTAGTTTTCACTACCCTGCAAAACAGGCTTCATGGAAGTCCACCAGAAAGAACAGGCAGATAAGAGGAAAAAAGCAAAAGATATTCTGACTCACTATAGCAATTTTTGCCTGTAACAAAATGAAGGTAAGTCAAAAAGGAGCAAAAACACTGCTTTCAAAGTATTCTTTTTGTTGTTGTTGTTGAGACAGAGCCTCAACCTGTCCCCCTGGGTAGAGTACCGTGGCATCACAGCTCACAGCAACCTCTAACTCCTGGGCTCAAGCAATTCTCCTGCCTCCGCCTCCCAAGTAGCTGGACTAGAGGCCCCTGCCACAACACCCGGCAATTTTGGGGTTGCAGCCATAATTGTTGTTTGGCGAGTCCAGGCTACATTCAAACCCACCAGCTCAGGTGTACATGGCTGGTGCTTTAGCCACTTGAGCCACAGGCGCCAAGCCCAAAGTACTCATTTTACAAGTCGAAGGCAACTGTAAAATGAGAAGATCCTCAAACTGAGGACATAAGAAAAAAGTCAGGTTACCTGAAAAGGTGGCTTTCCTACGAGGCACTGATAGATCACTGTTCCTATGCTCCACAAGTCTGCCTTGGCATCATAATGTTGAGACATAATAACCTCAGGAGCCTGGGTGTAACAAATTCAAGAGATATGCATAACGTAATCAGTAAGTAGATATTAACTGGTAATGGTCACCTCCTAAAAACTACCAAAATAAAACTTAACACATTGTGCTATTTCTCTAATCAAACGATACTGTAATGAACTTAGAATTACATTACTATGTAGATTCACCGGTAAATCTCAGTAACAATGTATAAAAAGAAGCAAGTTGTAGCCACATTATTATGGATATATAAAGTTTAGTGAAAGTAGTGAAACAATAATAAAGAAAACTACACATCAGTTATTGGACAGAGGTCCCCTCGGGGGTGTGGGAGTAAGAGAGCAAGCAACGAATCAGGGAGAAGAACAAAAAGGACTGAGCTACCTCTGAAATATTTCCTTTCTAAAAAAAGATCAAGGCACATGTGGCAAAACATTACCTTTGTTAAATATGAGTGGTAGGGACACAGGTGTTTGCTACATTATTTCCTATATTTTTCTGTAATTTAAAAAGGTTTTAGGACAGCGCCTATGGCTCAGTGAGTAGGGCGCCAGCCCCATATACCGAGGGTGGCGGGTTCAAACCCAGCCCTGGCCAAACTGCAACAAAAAAATAGCCGGGTATTGTGGTGGGCACCTGTAGTCCCAGCTACTCGGGAGGCTGAGGCAAGAGAATCGCCTAAGCCCAGGAGTTGGAGGTTGCTGTGAGCTGTGCGATGCCACGGCACTCTACTGAGGACAAGAAAGTGAGACTCTGTCTCTACAAAAAAAAAAGATAGTCATTTCTTTCCAAACCATATAATCCCATTTGATGATAAGGAAAGGTGTCTCATAAACCATCAGTTCTCCCAGCCTACATTCCCATGGAACATTTAACTCTGCAGGATACAGTGGAACACGTGGGTTTAGGAGTCTCACAGATGTGGGTTTGAATCCTATGTCACTTCCCAGTCAGAAATAAAATGATGTAACCTTTTTTTTAAAAAAAAAAAAAAAAAAAAGAACTAGTTATTAGAGCCGGGCACAGTGGCTCATGCCTGTAATCCTAGCACTCTGGGAGGCTGAGGCAGGTGGATTGCTTGAGCTCGCAGGTTTGAGACCAGCCTGAGCAAGAGCAAGACCCCATCTCTAAAAATAGCCAGGCGTTGTGGCAGGCTCCTGTAGTTTCAGCTTCTGGGGAGGCTGAAGCAAGAGAATTTCTTGAGCCCAAGAGTTTGAGGTTGCTGTGAGCTGTAACATCATGACACTGTACTAAGAGTGACAAAGTGGAGACTCTTGTCTCAAAGAAAACCCAACAAAACTAGTTTTTTTTTTTTTTTTTTTGGAGACAGAGCCTCAAGCTGTCGCCCTGGGTAGAATGCTGTGCCATCATAGTTCACAGCAACCTCCAACTCCTGGGCTTAAGCAATTCTCCTGCCTCTGCCTCCCAAGTAGCTAGGACTATAGGTGTCTGCCACAACTCCTGGCTATTTTTTGGTTGCAGCCATCATTGTTGTTTGGCAGGCCTAGGCTGGATTTGAACCTGCCAGCTCAGGTGTATGTGGCTGCTGCCTTAGCTGCTTGAGCCACAGGCATCAAGCCAAAACTAATTATTAAAGCTCAAAAACTTTTTCTATACCAAATCTACAGTCTCACTTTTTACCCTCAGAAGGGTGCCATGGCATCACAGCAACCTCAAACTCCTGGGCTCCAGTGATCCTCTTGCCTCAGCCTCCTGAGTGGCTAGGACTACAGGTGCCCTGATGCCTGGCTATTTTTAGAGATGGGGTCTCAATCTAGCTCAGGCATTCCACTGACCTCAGCCTCCCAGAGTGTTGGGATTACAGGCATGAGCCACTGCTCCTGGCCCAAATCTACTTCCTTGATTATAATGTTGCTTATGTATAATAATGTTGTTATGTATAATAACATTTATAATTTTAAAAATTACTTTGTACTTGAGTATCAAATTGGTTCTGCCTTGAGAATTGCGTGCTTTGGCTGATTATTAAAGAAGTTGACCCAATAAGAAATTTATAGGTACGATAAATAAAAATGTCATGCTGGAGTCTCAGCACCCGTAGCACCGTGGTTACTGCACTAGCCACATATACCAAGGCTTGCAGGTTCGAATCTTGCCTGGGCCAGCTAAACAATAACAACCACAATAAAAAAATAGCCAGGCATTGTGGTGGGCGCCTGTAGTCCCAGCTACTGGGGAAGCTGAGGCAAGAGAATCGCTTATGCCCAAGAGTTTGAGGTTGCTGTGAGCTGTGATGCCAGAGCACTCTATCAAGGGTGACATCATGAGATTGTCTTAAAAAAAAAAGTTATGCTGGAGTTGGGCAATGTGGTGGTGCATGCCGATAATCCCAACTACTTGGAACTGAGGCAGGAGGATCACTTGAACCCAGGAGTTTGAGACCAGCCTGGGTAACATAACAAGAGCCAATCTCTTTGAAAAAAGAAAGTTATACCTAGAAAATAAAATTTCACTATCTTTAAGCATAACTGACATTTCCATTTAACATTTGTCCTGATTGATGGTACATTTAAAAAAAAACAAAACAGTTAATGAAAGATAGGAAAATAACTCTAACAAAGCAGAGAAATGTTTTTGCTTTGAGGACAATTTTTATTATTATGCTTTGTATTACAGCTTTTCTATTGTTTTAAAACCTTTTTATTTTATTTTTTTTAGAGACTGGGCGTAGGCAATTCTCTTGCCTCAGCTTCCCAAGTACCTGGGACTACAGGCGCCCGCCACAATGCCCGGTTATTTTTTTGTTGTAGTTTGGTAGGGGCCGGGTTCGAACCTGCCACCCTAAGGGGAGGCAGCGCCCTACTCGCTGGCGTATATGGGACCAGTGCCCTACTCACTGAGCCACAAGCGCCACCCATAACTAGTTCTTGATCTTAAAGTTGATTTTATTTATATATTTTTTATTTTTTTATTTTTTTTAAAATAGAGCCTGGACAACTAGAGTGTATGTCATTAGCCTAGTTCACAGCCATCTCAAACTCAAGCAATCCTTCTGCCTTATTCTCCCAAGTCGATGGGACTGTAGCATGCACCACATCTAGCTAGTTTTTTCTATTTTTTAGTAGCGATAGGGTCTCACTCTTGCTCAGGCTGGTCTCAAGCTCCTTGAGCTAAAGCTATCTTCCTGCCTCAGCCTTTCAAAGGGCTAGGGTTATAGGCATGAGCCATCACACCCAGTCTCAAACTTGATTTTAGATTAGAGAAATTTCTAGTTGAACATAAACCTATTTTAAATTTAGAGCTGAAATCTCTTCATTTATTTACTTCACATAATTCCAAAGCTCTAGAATTAACACATTTCCAGGCTTCATACTCCACATTAGGTTAGAAGTTTCATAGCCTCTATGTGAAAGGATAAAGAAAAATGCTAAGATCTTTCAGCTTTCAGTGTGAGCTGATGGGGAAAGTGTCTACAATACCAGGATCCTGTCAAGAGAGACAACAAGCAAAAGATGAGCATATCTGATCGCTGAAGAAGTGCCCCAAAAGGGGGTTTAGCTTTTTAGAATTCCTAAAGTACACCATACCAACCATACCAAGACTATACTTCATAAATTTTTATTCTCAATTTAATCCAATAGGCTATTTGTGCCATAATAATGTATCTTTTAAAAAATAGAAACAAATCATCCAGGAAGTTTAAATTAAAAAAAAAATTAAAAAAAAAAACAAATGGGCAAAAATGATTTACTTTAACAGTCCACTACACTAAAGCAAAAGACATCTGCATTATAACCTCATGGGTAATATAATTAGTAACATTAGTTGCCAGGTGTGGTGGCTCATGCCTGTAATCCCAGCACTTTGGGAGGCTAAGGAGAGTAGATCACTTGAGCTCAGGAGTTCCAGACCAGCCTGAGCAAGAGTGAAACCCTGTCTCCACCAAAAATAGAGAGACTAGCCGGGCACAGAGGCAACAGTATCGCTTGAGCCCAGGAGTTTGAGGTTGCTGTGAGCTATGATGCCATAGCACTCTACCAAGGGTGACAGAAAGAGAGACTCTGTCTCAAAAAAAAAAATTTAGTAACAGCTCAAACTATATATAAAATCACATCTTACTTAGAAAAAGAGGATTATACTTAAATCCCAGCACTTATAGTGCCATGCTTTGAACACACAGGGTGCAAGTATTCACTCACCATGTACATCGGGGATCCACACAGGGTAGCAGCCATCATGTTACTATGCAGGTAACGAGCAAAGCCAAAATCCGCTATTTCACAAAATAAAAATTAGAAAGACAAATGATAACTGTGCTCACTTTTAACATAGATCATAACTCGTTAAGACCCAAAAAGGCACAAAAAGAACTGTGAAAAATAAACACCTTATTGAATAAGACTATCCACCAACGAAAAATGTAGCTACTATAATTTCAACAGCTAAGAGACAATGATCAATGGCGTGAGTAACATAAGGCTGGTAACCGAGGTGCACCAGACTCCATGTGTGAAGTGCTGATTACAATAAATGGTTCACTAATATAGCTTTCACTAAATACAGACATCAGACACAGAATTTTAACTGCTTTTCCTTACTAACGTTCTGTTTCAGATAATTCTGCAATAGCACTAAGAAAAGTTTCAAAGCCTGAACTTTGATCCCTATGTCGTGGTGAGCTGTAAACAGTGTAATTTGCTGCCAGTCACCACACTACTGTAAACTTCCCTCAGGAGAGAAGCAGGATTTGCTTCCTAGGATTCACAGTTAGAGCTCCTGATATGAGCCCAATGGCCCTGACCTTTAGCAAATGCTACCGCTAATGTAAAGGCCTCACATGTCTAAATAGACCTCATTGACCGCAATAAAAATTTCAAATTGTATCAATAAAATCCATCTTTCTAACAAAGTTAAACTAAAATTATCTAAAAATACAGTGTCTCACATGTGTCCTTTTCATGAAATAATGCATGGCTGTTTACCTATTTTGATGCGAATACCACTGACACTGGACTTTCTGCGATTGGCATAAGACAACAAGATGTTCTGCGGTTTGAGATCTCTGTGGATTATTCCTTTGCTGTGCAGGATTCGCATGGCAGCTGCAATCTGATGCAGAAACACTCTGATAGTATCTTCACTGAGAGTTCCTTTAGCTGGTACAAAAGGAGTCACATAAATATTTACGCACACAAAATTAAATACATCTGCATATTCCATCAAGAGAACTGTGTTGTAGAGAAGACCACAAGGGGAACAAGGAACTGCAACTGATATTCACTTTTTTATTTTAATAACTTTATTAAACTAAAATCTATGAGGAGAAATCATAGATTCAATCAGTCTATTATAAAGAGAACTGATGTGCATTTTCATCTTCAGTTTTCACTTTTCCCTTCTGTTTTTTTTGTTGTTGTTTGTTTTGAGACAGAGCCTCAAGCTGTCCCCCTGGGTAGAGTGCTGTGGCATCAACAGCTCACAGCAACCTCCAACTCCTGGGCTCAAGCCATTCTCCTGCCTCTGCCTCCCAAGTAGCTGGGACTACAGGCGCCTGCCACAACGCCCAGCTATTTTTTGTTGCAGCCATCATTGTTGTTTGGCGGGCCTGGGCTGGATTCGAACCCGCCAGCTCAGGTGTATGTGGCTGGCGCCTTAGCTGCTTGAGTCACAGGTGCTGAGCCATTCCCTTCTGTTTTTACTGCTACAAATACCCATAATAACTCTGAACACAACAGGTGCTCAACAGACGTAAATACCCTTTATGAACCAGAAAATAAGCTTCCCTTCATATTAGTCAAATATCTCACATAAATGCCTGTGTTTAATATCAACCATCGCCAGCACAAATTAAAAACAGGAGAAATCCTCGACCAGAGAGAACTGGGAACTCTGGTTCCTTGTACCTGTCAGGAAGCTGAGTTCCTCACCTTCTCCTTCCTCTTCTCCCTCTCACTGTCCAATACCTCGCCCCATCATATCACCCTTCACTACTGAAGACTCCTCTAAGAGTAAATATTTTAACCTGTTTCCACTAAATAAAAAGGTAGCATGAACATTTGAAGGGAGCCAGGATTCAGTAAATACTACAGTCTTTCTGTGTATGCCGGAGAAACCAGCTTTCTGGTTAAAGTTTGATTTGGAGTCAGCTGCCACTTCTCAAATCCCAGCTCCCCACTTAAGTGTGCGACCCTGGAAGACAACCCCTCTGTACCTACTTCCTCCTCTATAAGAAGCCGACAGTGGCACTAACCACAGGAGGTTCATGTAATTAAGTAAATAAAACGTTTAATAATACTTTAGAAAATGGTCTGACACATAAATATTCAAATGTAGTAAATATGCAAATATTACAGTGGATCTAAAAATCACCAGTGTAATTCCTTAAATCTACTTTAAGGATTTAATAGCCATAAATTTAACCTATTTAACAGACATTAAATTTAAACCTATTAAATCCTTTGTGAACACACTTCTGTCTATACAAATTAGAATATATGGCTCGGCGCCTATAGCTCAACCGGCTAAGGCGCCAGCCACGTACACCTAAGGTGGTGGGTTTGAATCCCCAGCCCAGACCCGCCAAACAACAATGATGGCTGCAACCAAAAAACAGCCGGGCATTGTGGCAGGCACCTGTGGTCCCAGCTACTTGGGAGGCGGAGGCAGGAGACTCGCTTGAGCCCAGGAGTTGGAGGTTGCTGTGAGCTGTAATGCCACGGCACTCTGCCCAGGGGGACAGCTTGAGGCTCTGTCTCAAAAAAAAAAAAAAAAAAACAAATTAGAATATATTCTACACAACCTGTCCATTTGTCATTAAAAAGAAAAAATAACATTAACACCTGGAATAAGTGAAATGTTATGGTTTTAAAATCAATTTTTTAATCACTTAAGGACATATTAAGTGACATTTACGTGTTTTTAACATCTTCAGATGAAATAAATCTTCATGGTTTTAAAACTATCAAATACTCCTACAGAGAACTCAAATTATTATCAACAGGGAAAAAAAAATTATCAAATATTTTCTTCTTTGAGGGCTATTCCTAACCTATCTTCCTTCTTTAATTCTTCAAGATTCTTTTCCTGATACTCATTGTGGAAAAAAAAAAAGTTCAAGATACACTAAAACAAATCAAAAGAGAACTCTTCCATAATCTCACCCTTCAGAGATGGACATTGTTAAATATTAGGAATCCAGCGGGCGTGAGCCACCATGCCTCTCTTGTAAAAGGCATTTTGTTTCACAGAAAAAATAAAAAGTCTAAATGACCATGCTGTGATACAACGGTGTTTAACCTTCTACACATCCCGGACCTAGACCAGTGCACTCCAACAGGAATATAACATGGCCACACATGCAACTTATTCATTCTGATGAAGTATTCAAAATCCAGTGTGCATTTTATGCTTAGAGCACATCTCAATTTGGACTAGCCACATTTCAAGAGTCCAATGTGGTCAGTGGCTACTGTGTGGGACAGCATAGCCAAATGATTCCCTAAGGACTAGAATTTCTTTCTTAAGTCTTAAGAAGTGCTTTCAAACTACAAGGGATTCCCTTAAGAACTGTGGCAGAGAGAGGATAAAAAACCAAATCATACAGCAATTAAGTGATATTACTGGAACCAGAATCACACTTTGCTGGCTGCCCTTCCCCCACTCAAGCATTAGGCTCTTCAATATTGAGTCTCCTATTTTAATAATATTGCAGTGGAACATCAAATACACAGTTCAAGAAAACTGCTGTTGAAATTAACTTAAACCTTCTATATCACTGACAGTGCTTCTATAGGTAAATGATACTTCTGTTGATAAAGGAAACTGCTATCAGAATGACAGCTCTAGGCTGGTGCTGTTCACTCTGACCCCAGCAAAAAGGCACTTTCACTGGGAACACTTAAGGGTCTCAAGGAACGCAAGATTCAGAGACAGATGAAAAGAGAATAAGGTTCTTTCTAGCTCAACTCCTTCCTGCTACCAGTGAATGAAGTGCCTGTGCTATTGTATTCTATCTACTAATAAATAACATTTTAAAACCATTTTTGACCACACGACAAATTTGTTAAACTACCAAATTTGGAACAATGTTTCTAGGGAAATGACAGGAATGAAACTACAGAAGGGCTTACAGGGAGCTTTAACTATATTTTTAATTCCTTTTTAAGTTGGAGGGTTAGTATAGCATGTTCTTTATATTCTTCTCTATGCAGCTTTTGAATGCCAGCGTAGTCTATATTTTATTTATTTATTTATTTGGAGACAAAGTCTCACTATGTCACACTCACAGCAACCTGAAACTCTTAGGCTTAGGCAATTCTCTTAACTCAGCCTCCCAAGTAGCTGGGACTACAGGCGCCCGCCACAATGCCCGGCTATTTTTATGTTGCAGTTGTCATTGCCCGGGCCAGGTTCGAACCTGCCAGCTTCAGTGCAAGTGGCTGGAGCCATAACCACCATACTACAGGAGCCGAGCCGTTAGTCTATATTTTAAAGATTTTTTTACATCTCATTTTTATTTGCACTCTCCCTGATTACTAAATGAAATTATACATATTTAATATATCATTTCTCTTTTGTAAACTGTCCATACCCTTTGTGTGTCTATTCACTGAGACCTTAGTGCTGCCTTCACCACAGTCTATTATTTTTGCATATCTCCCTTCCATCTTTGAAGAAGTGAACAAGTAGGTACTAACCTTAAAAGAAAACATTTTGGAGGGATATGACGTGATCTGAATACTTCGTGTCCTACATGAATGCATTTTGGGTACACAATTTCAAGATCCATCTAGTATTAAAGTCTTACTTCTGTGACACAAAATAATTTCAATGTTACCTTTAATCCCTTATAATGTTGTTGGGTTTTTTATTATAAGAAATGGTCACTGAAATACATTCTTTCACTATAATTTTTTTTTTTTAAAGGAAAGAGACTAAAAGTTCACTGATAGCAACCCAGTTGAGCCTTTTGAAGAAGAGAAATTCTATTTGGTTTCTTCTCTCCTGAAAAGAGGACCCACCTCTCAAACACTGTTGGAGAAAGAGAGATAAAGAGAGAGACGCAAAAAGGTAAGTACTTAATACACAAACTTAGGAACAGAACCACAAAAAACAACAACTGGTCAACAAAATGACTACAAGTTAAACAAATAACACAAATATTTATTGAATGTTCCTTACACAAGTACAGGAAAGAGGAGTAACAGATTTCACAAGGTACCACTCAGGATTAAACAGACTGCAGTACTGTCTTTACTGAACAGTTAAACATTGACACACACACATTACCTTGCAAATAATCTGCCAGGTCTCCACCATTGCAATACTGATATATAAAAGAAAAATAACTAAAATAAGAACAGTGATTCAAGATTAATCCAATCTATTTTGTTAATTTTAATTTAAAAATCATTTGTATATATTGTAATGTAAATCTAGTCTAAAAATTATAGCAACTATGGAATCAGAATTTTAAAAATTTTATATTCCTCTAGTAGCATTTAAATAACTGCATTGACTTTAGTAATTCAAAATTTCAAATAATAATATACTGTCAATTTAAAAGCACATATTAATCAACAGAAATTTGAAATAAACAGAATTTGTACACTACTTACCTCCATCACCAAAAAGACAGAGTTGGGTAATTCCTGAAATGTAAACAAGTATCACTTAGAGAAAAAATTAAACATAAAATTTAGAAATGATAAAAATATCATACCTGTTCATTAAACTAGTAAAATAGCATGAAATCCATTAGAAAGTGAAATTAAAATTCCCATCACTATTTAAGTATCTCCTCTTCCCAAAGCCAAATCAAGTTTGGTGTCACTAATGTAATCATCAAGATGCTCAATTCTATTTACAGAAAGAACTAGAGAAAACTTAGTATTTGGTTATGATGGACCTAAATCATAGCTCCCAATATCTAAGATAGAAACCATGATAAATTAGGCCAGGAACAGTGGCTCATGCCTGTAATCCCAGCACTTGGGAGGCTGAGGCAGATGGATTGCCTGAGCTTACAGGTTCAAGACCAGCCTGAGCCAGAGAGAGACTTCATCTCTAAAAATAGCCGGGCATTGTGGTGGGCACCTGTAGTCCCAGCTATATGGGAGGCTGAGGCAAGAGAATTGCTTAAGCCCAAGAGTCTTGAGGTTGCTGTGAGCTAAGACGCCACGGTACCCTACTGAGGGTGACCAAGTGAGACTCTGTCTCAAAAAACAAAACAAAACAAAAAAGGATAAATTTACCACTTATTAAAAAAAGGAAAGATTTTTTGGTCCTTGGGAAAATAGTTTCATTTTGAAAATTTTGATTTGGAGCAGCAAAATGAAAATAAAAACTTTGGAATGTCCACATATTGGCCCTTTATTTTTCACATTTTTTTTTTGGCCGGGGCTGGGTTTGAACCCACCACCTCCAATATATGGGGCCAGTGCCCTATTCCTTTGAGCCACAGATGCCACCCTATTTTTCACTTTTTTTATTTTTATTTTTATTTTTGGAGACAGAGTCTCTTTGTCACCCTGGGTAGAGTGCCCTGGCGTTAACAGCTCACAGCAACCTCCAACTCCTGGGCTTAAGTGAGTCTCTTGCCTCAGCGTCCCAAGTAGCTGGGACTACAGATGCTTGCCAAAACACCCAGCTATTTTTTTGTTGCAGTTGTCATTGCTGTTTAGCTGGCCTAAGCCGGGTTCAAACCTGCCAGCCTGGATGTATATGGCTGGTGCCTACCCACTGAGTCATAGGCGCAGCCTATTTTTCACTTTTATAATAATTCATTTTACTGGATTTTATAAAAAATATCCCCTCACGCAGATCTGAAGTCAGAATTGGTACCTCAGGACAGCAACAAGAAGCAACACAAGTGGCTGCAACCAAGTTGACTCACCACATTCACCAAAGGGCTAGATGCTGTGAGAGTACTACATCTGCAAGAAACTCAGGCGATTCACTTCACTTCTCAAGAGGACGAGATAAAAAACTGAAATACACAGGCGGCAACTGTGGCTCAGTGAGTAGGGCGCCGGCCCCATATACCGAGGGTGGTAGGTTCAATCCCAGCCCCAGCCAAACTGCAACAAAAAAATAGCCGGACATTGTGGCAGGCGCCTGTAGTCCCAGCTACTCAAGGGGCTGAGGCAAGAGAATAGCCTAAGCCCAGAAGTTGGAGGTTGCTGTGAGCTGTGTGATGCCACAGCACTCTACTGAAGGCAATAAAGTGAGACTCTGTCTGTACACACACACACACACACACACAAAAACTGAAATACAGCATGCCCAATTCTTTGACCCTAGATGTATACAGAAATTCAGAAGAATGATGAAGCCATTTACTCCCTACTAAGGAACAAAGAGCCACAGCAGGATCCCAGCACGGAGTGCCAAGCCACCAGCTGGCTTCCCTGACAGCAGCACTCCTGTAATAAATTGGGAGAAGGTAGAAAACACCTAGCTCTCAAGCTGGACGGTCAAGTCTGTACAAAACAAATACCTCCTTACACCAAAAATAAAAACAAAAAATGTTATTTCTCAGAGTTAAACCATCTCTGCTATGAATGAACCAGATAGCTCTCATTATAAAACCCAATCCAATCCAGACCAAAATACCCTATAATCCTTAAAAAACAATGAGAAATCATTAAACACTACTAATTTTGAATAATATTTTCCTTCTTTTTTCCTATAAAGTATAAAGCACAAAAATACAGGGAGGCACCTGTGGCTCAGTGAGTAGGGTGCTGGTCCCATATAATGAGGGTGGCGGGTTCGAACCCAGCCCCAGTCAAACTGCAACAAAAACATAGCCAGGCGTTGTGGTGGGCACCTATAGTCCCAGCTACTCGGGAGGCTGAGGCAAGAGAATCACCCAAGCCCAAGAGCTGGAGGTTGCTGCAAGCTGTGACATCACAGCACTCTACAGAGGGCAACAAAGTTAGACTCTGTCTCAAAAAAAAAAAAAATACGATCTCAAGTCAGTGTTGCTTAATCATGTAATAGCACCAATTTTCTTTTCTTTTCTTTTGAGACAAAGTCTCAAACTCTGTTGCTTTGGGTAGAGTGCTATGACATCATCACAGCGCATAGCAAACTGAAACAAATCAACTAGGTTCAAGTGATCCTCTCGTCTCAGGCTCCTGAGTAGCTGGGGCTGCAGGTACCTGCCACCACATCCAACTAATTTTTCTATTTTCAGTAGAGATGGGGTTTTACTCTTGGTCAGGCTGTTCTCAAACTCTTAAACTTAAGAAATCCTCCTGCCAGGTGGCGTCTGTGGCTCAGTGGGTAGGGTGCCAGCCCCATATACTAAGGGTGGCAGCTTCCAACCGGGCCCTGGCCAGCTAAACAATAATAGCAACTGCAACAAAAAATAGCCGGGCATTGTGGTGGGAGCCATAGTCCCAGCTACTCGGGAGGCGGAGGCAAGAGAATTACTTAAGCCTAAGAGTTGGAGGTTGCTGTCACCAAGGGCGACAGAGTGAGACTCTGTCTCAAAAACAAAAAATAAAATAAAAATAAAAATAAATCTTCCTGCCTTGGCCTCCCAGAGTGCTAGGATTACAGGCATGAGCCACAGAGCCTGGCTGGTAAGCACCAATTTTCTATGAAGAGAAAAGAGAACTAGAAATTCTTAAGAGGAGGCTCAACAGCTATAAGTAATTTCTGGTCACTCAATATGAAGAGGCCAATTTCCCATCTTTTTTTTTTTGAGACAGAGCCTCAAGCTGTCGCCCTGGGTAGAGTGCTGTGGCATCACAGCTCACAGCAACCTCCACCTCCTGGACCTAAGCAATTCTCCTGCCTCCACCTCCCAAGTAGCTGGGACTACAGGCACCTGCCACAACACCCGGCTATTCTTTTTTTCCTTGTTGCAGCCATCACTGTTATTTGGTGGGCCTGGGCTAGATTCGAACCCACCAGTTCAGATGTATGTGGTTGGCTCCTTAGCCACTTGAGCCACAGGCGCCAAGCCCCTATTTCCCATCTTAATGTCCACAATTTTGGAGATATATATATGTGTGCAGTTTTCTCCACTCATTCATTTACTCATCCAGTAAATAAACGAAATAGAAATATTTTAACATCCTTAATTTTCCATATAAACTTTCTTTCCTCTGTCTACCTTTAAAACAATGAGAATTTCCACAGATTCAATCATTCTTTGTCTTGGACAGTCTCTCTTCCTTTCAGGACCCTTTTACAAAATAGTGCACATTTTAAAAAATAAAACACTTAAATAATCTGGAACATGAGTAGTTTGCAAGAGCCAGAAAGAGTCAGCAAAACATGGGTGGTGCCTGTGGCTCAGTGGGTAGGGCGCCAACCCCATATACCAAGGGTGATGGGTTCAAACCCACCTCCTGCAAAACTGCAACAAAAAATAGCATTGTGGCAGGTGCCTGTAGTCCCAGCTACTTGGGAGGCTGAGGCAAGAGAATCGCCTAAGCCCAGGAATTTGAGGTTGCATGAGCTGTGATGCCACAGCACTCTACTGAGGGCAATAAAGTGAGACTCTGTCTCTAAAAAAAAGAGTTAGCTAAACAAAAAAAGGTTTTCTTTTTTAAGTCATCTATAGACATATCAAAACTATTCAATGGTACTAGGGCACTGAAGAACTTGGAAAAGAGATACTTGTTGGACCAGAAAGGCTAAGAAGTGAGGCCCATATAACCTGTGAGCCAGACCACTAAGGGAAGGGTTTGTCATGGTACACATATGATGTAGCCTCCTTTCCTAATGTCAAGAAATCCTCTCTTTGGCTTGGCACCCACAGCACAGCGGTTACGGCACCAGCCACATACACCGAGGGTGGCAGGTTTGAACCCGGCCCAGGCCAGCTAAACAACTGCAACAAAAAAAATAGCCCGTCACTGTTGTAGACGCCTGTAGTCTCAGCTATTTGGGAGGCTGAGGCAAGAGAATTGCTTAAGCCCAAGAGTTTGAGGTTGCTGTAAGTTGTGATGCCTCGGCACTCTACCAATGACAACAAAGTGAGACTCTGTCTCAAAAAAGAAAAAAAAAAAGAATTCCTCTCCTCTACCCCTCTCCATCACTTCCATCAACAAAATGACAGGCATGGGAATTTCATTCTATCATTCCCTTACATATATATAGAGGATGCAAAAAAATGTATACACATTTTAAGAAAAGAAGGAACTGTATTAAAATTGTTAATACTAAACATATACCAATAACAAAAGATGAATACAAGTCATGTTGAGCACCTCTTACAAGTGCAGAAGTCAAAGGTGACTTCAGTCTTACCAATACAGTACGCGCACGCACACGCACACACACGGATATATATTTATACGTGTGTTTTTGTCCATGGTTCCTGGCTCATCACTCCTACATCCCTTGTTATTATTTAGAGTGCTTTGGACCTCAAAAGTGGACTTCAAAAATGGAATCTCTCTCTGGGATCTTCTCCTGCCCTCTTTCTCCTGTGTAAGGCAGGACTCTATCTAACCTTCCCCCACCTTTGTGCATCGTAGGTCTTAACAAGACCCTAATTCCAGAGAGGGTCCTGTCCCTTATCTTCCCTGGAAAAAGAAATGCTACAGAGTGAGGTCAAGAAGACTCTGAACCAACAGGCCTTTCTGGGTTTCCCCATAAGTCTAGCTGTATTAGATGGTACCCTTTCTGT